TTTTTTTTTTAAAAAAAAAAATGGGCCTTCTATACTTAGTTAATGTCTTAACTAAAAGACTGAAAGAGCATCCTTAGTAAATTCCACAAGACACCTTCTTTTTTCCTGCAGCCAAACAAGCTGTATTAAACGGTCTGTGTTCCTGAAGAGTTTGTGGAGGCAGTTCTAAAAATATTAGTACCTTTGTATACCATTCCAAAAATCCTGTTTGCCAAGGTAAAGGCAGGATATGACCTCATATCATAGACTTTAAACTGTCCCCCTCCCCCCCAAAGTTGCCCTGGATTCTGGACTAATATAATACTGAATAGGTGAATTACTTTAAATTCCTGAGCTTTGTAATCCAGTCATCAGGAAAATGAAACACCCACATTTTGCAATACCCACATTGTTCTACCCATTATGACTGTCCAGAGAGAGACTTCTTGTATGGCAGAGGAAGATGGTATTTCTCAGAAGCATTCAAATTATTTGAAGCCAAAGTATTTTTACAAAACCGTATAAGCTATGGTGTAAACCCTGGTGTAAACCCTGTTAAATTATAGAAGTGTTAATCTCTATATGTAAACTTCTCTATAAAACTACTATTGACTGGTATTATATTTAAAAACTGTCAATTATTTCTATGAAGCAGACCCCGTAAATGGGTCGTTATCTAGAATATTTACTTCAATACTGCTTCAATGGCCGTGGTGTATTTATCAGATTTCTCAAACTGCCTACTTTTTTTACGTATTAATCAACATGTAGGCTTTTAATTTTCTGATATAAAGAATTCTCTGTCTTATCCTCAAAACCTTGTTTCCTCACCCTCTGCAATTTTTTACCGGCACATACTCAGTCTTTCTGAAAGTGGTAAATCCTGAGAAAGGGCTTTTAAATAGATAAGCACTCCATGTAACTTCCTATTACTTTCTTACCAGCTCTCTCTCTGTGGGTCAGAAATAATTCTGGCCTTTAGCTGTACTTGGGCCCTAGACCTTTGACCATTCAGATTTGGGGATAATTCTTGCTTTCTTTGCCTTGATTTCAAACCCATCAGCCACTGAAAAAAGGCCAAAAGAGTTTTCCACTTGCCAATTAAGCATTAAAGCAGTCAAAAGAGGGTGGAAGATTGAGAGGGCAAATTTAGCATCTCTCCATACCAACTGGGAAGTCAGTTTAACATAAGATTCCAATCCCTAGATACAAAACCAGCATTGTAGTAGCACGGCTCTGCAAAAACCTTTCTCTTGTTACACCATCTTGGTTATTTGTTTGGGTTCTGAATCCCACATAAATGCATAGAGAAGACAGAAAAGGGTCAGGATAAAATCGGGCTGCTCCAGATTTAAAAAAAAAATCTTTTCTAAATCTGTAAAAAAAAAAAAGGAAACAGCCATCCAGCTTGCACAAAGGAAGCTGAGAAACGAGTGAAAATTGACTGCTCCCCATTTGATGAAGCAGTTTTGTTCTTTGCTGATTTGTCTGCTATGGCTTTATCGGGTATTTATTCAGGCACTGCTGCAGATTAACAGCGTTGTGGCATTTCCTGGTAGGGCTGGGAGAGACCCCCTGACTGAAATTGTGAGAGGCACCGCATATCAGCCCAGAACCATATTAAGATTGATGACCTAATGGTCTGACTCAGTATAAACTTTCGCTTGTTTGCATTGCTATAGTGTGGAGTTCAGGCTGGAGGCTCCAGACATGTTGCGGTCAAACTGCTGCAATAGTTAGTTCACCGAGAAACAGATCGGCTGAAGAGAATCTGGCTGCCCAAGTTGAAGGTGTTGGTCATTACCAGAACACAGAGAGACCCAGCATCATTTTACTTCCAAACGAGACATTGCAAACTCGTTTAGATAAAAAGATAGCTGCTAGTCCTAGAGAAGATTTTTTTTTTAATTACCATACTGCATGATTAGGATCCACAAAGGTTGAAGTCTCTGCTCAAAATTATTTTTTTCTTTTCCAGATCGGATCCCCCCTACTTTACCTAGGCAATCTCGTGAGGACCGGCACAATTCTGGATCTAGACAGAGGCCTCATTTATTCCGGCAACGACCGGGGCGTGCCTTGTACCACATCTCACGAACTGTCCCTCATACGCCCTCCAGGAACTGCTCTTTAGTGGGCTCCCGTGGACACCCTTTCTTCCACTCTCCTGAACTCTCCCAGTTGGATCTTGGAACTATGCATTACTTGCCCTATAGGCCAATTGGCTTTGAGCCTTGGTGTGGCCACCAAGCGCCTCCCAGCAGAAGCCTGTTACGTTCTCAGCATCCCCTGGAGCCCCCAGTGTGTGAGCCAGCCCTGCCCTCTCATAGGCTGTGTCTGCTTCAGCACCAGCCCTCTTGCCAAGGTCTCAGGGCTCCCCTTGCAGCCCAGATAAGTCATGCTGTTCCTTTACATCGAGGAATTCGCCACGGGAGGCATCACCACCACCACAGTAGTGGCTCTGGGGAGAGTTACCTTACAGAACCCAGTGGATACCTTCCTGATGGCCCCGGTAGTGACTCCAGTTCAGGTCCTTGCCACGGCAGCTCCAGTGACTCCATGTTGAATTGCACTGACGTCAGTCTTCAGGCTATCCATGGCAGTTGCTCTACTTTTCACAGCTCCCTGAGCAGTGATTACGATCCGTTCACCTTCTGTGGCTCAGAGAAGCTGACCACGGAAAGCAAACAAGACTCTTCTTCATCTGGGAAGGACTCACAGCTTCAGTCGGTAGACTCCATGGTAACAAGTAGAGCACAACTAGCCAGTAATCATGTCCACTATCACCACCATCACCACAGGCATCACCATTATGGGCAGAAACCTTCCAGCTGTCCAAGTGGCAGACCAAACCAAGAGTCTAATCCACGCAAGATGAAATATTCCAGGACAAAGGTGGGATCACAAAACATCTCACTACCAAAAAGGACAGAGAAAATGCAAATGGTAGATCTTTCTAGGCAAAGACACACGGAACTGTATTTGGCAGACGGGTCTGACATTAGCATGACAGCCAGTAGCCAAGCTGGAACTGTTGGACTGTGGGGCACTCAGAAACCCCATGCACAAATCCATCCAGGTAGAAGGAGATGGAAGTGTCCTTTTGAGACGTCACCTGAGGATTCCAGCACAACCCTGGAATGCAGAATTGCTAGCCATCCTGGTGGTTTTTCTAGAAACCAGGGTCCCCCAGAAATTCAACCTCTTTTAATAGGGGGTCCCCCTGCACATAATTTTGCAGCATTGCCAGAGATATCAAAATGCCTAACTCCATGTTTTACCATGGAGAACCAGGAAAAGAGGGACATGCTGGGACAATTGGATTGTGAACACACATTTCCAGAAGAATGTTCAGACTTGGATGCAACAAGAAGCAACACAAGCTCTTACCTCATTAATAGAGTTCCGCAAAATCTTCAGGGTAAGTTTGAACCTTTAGAGTCTCATATATCTTTATTTTCCAGGATCATTTCAGCTCTGTTTTCCATCTGCAGTATGTAGCTGCAAGTACTTTTGAAAACCTTGTAACGTCTGCCTCTAAAATGTATGTCAAGCTTCCTCCATAGAATTCAGGGAATAGAAGTTAGTTTGTTAGTGAGCTTTGATACAATCTTGGTTTTAGAGGATTGTGTTCGATATAATATGGATGGGATGGAAGCTTTTGATCAAAGATGTCAACACCTTCAGCTTATGGGAACTCAAGCATGATGTGTTTTACTCATTTTGCACCTTCTCTTTAGGAATCAGTACTTAAACTTCCTCTCTGATGACAATACTTTCGTGTATTACAAATTGGAAAGCTTATTATTAAAGCATTATTTGATAAAGGAAGCGTACTCTGGTGATATGGATATAGGAGACTCATCTACATTGGTTGAGCATTGGACTAAATGATTTACAAAATAGCTTCCGACTCAATTATGCTATTCTATCTGAAATTTTGCCCCTACTGTGAACTTACTGTTCGTATAAAATTTATCTTGTATCTTTATCTTTTTGTATAGTTTGCAATAGAGGTAGTCCTTGACTTACAACTGGTCTAATTACCATTCACAATCACAACTCAGAACTTCCAACTATTGTAAAACATTGCAATGTCTCTCCTCCTCCCTGTCACATGACATCATTTGGGGCGTTTGGCAATCTGTTGGTATTCACGAGCTGATGCCAAGGGCCCTGGAATCATGTGATTGCTATTTGCAATCTCCTCTGCCAGATTCCTCAGAACATCAGTGGGGAAGCTGGGAGGAAACATTGCAAGGTGGGGGGGATTTGAGCTCCGTCCCCCTCCAGCCAAAAGAATTTGGGCACTGGATGAATGGACTTCAAAGCTGGTGAAAACGCTATTGAATGTCAATGTTCTGAAAAGCTGTGAACGTTGACAGTGTTTTAGCAAACCCCATAGTCTCCATCCCTCCAGAAGGAATGCCAGCATTTTGAGCCTTTCAGAATATTGTTTTCTAGCGCTTTATTGAATATTATTGTCTTTGTCCCCCTGGAGGGAAAAATATTAGTGAACGTCAGCATTTTGAGCCTTTCAGAGCAATGATATTGGCTAGGGTTTTCTTTTTTGCCAGATTTGAGTCCATTCCTTCAGTGTGCTGAGAGATTACCTCATCGGGCTCTGATTAACAACTCCCACAGTTGATTAAATACTGCTGGGATTGCAGTCACTAAGCAAAATGACCACATGGCATCTTGCTTAATGACTCCAATAAAGGAGAATATTTATAGCTCAGGCTTGAAATGCTCTCTCAGCTTGCTTGTTTTCTTGCAACGTTTCATTACCCTAACTATTCACTGGCATTGATGATGTTACTTAGTTAGGGCAATGAAATGTTTGCAAGAAAACAAGCAAGCTCAGAGAGCACCATGGACCCCTGCTTAATGACTGCCTCACTCAATGACCGAGATTCTGGGCCCAAGTGTGCTCACAAGGGGAGGATTACCTGTTTGTTATAAATATGTAACGAAGAAAACATATATCCAGTATGCAATATAAATTTAAACATCAACATTTGGTAGGTCTAAGTGTCTGTCAAAAGCAATGACAAGAGTGCTATAATTTGTGGGTGGTTTCATGGTAATTAGAGATATTCAGAAACAAGGAATTTGTCAAAGCAGTTTAAATGCTGGGTATAATTTACTGCTGTCTCAAAAATGGGTGGATAGATTTCAAACTGAATTACTTGGGATGGCCCTAAAGCTTGGAAAATGTGAGAAACAAACTTTATTGCTATTCAGAATCCAACTTAACCTCTGATCATGGTGACAGCTTTACAATTGGAAAGAGAAGGAATAACCTTAACATTCCCAGGTTTCAAAAAGTTTATGACTTTGAATTGTGCCTGAAAATGGATTGAAATATGCCATAAATGCTTTCTCTTTGTTTAATTTCCTATCTATGAAATGAGAACAGTCTTGGCATTACTGTAAGGCCATGTCTTCAGTGTCCATTTTATCTGTTTTGCAACTTCTTTGTAAGAACAAATGTACCGTAATGAAGATGTAATCTCACTTAAAGGTTTTGTTTAAGTCTCAGTATCAGTTTAGGTTGCAGTTGATCAATATAAAAAAGATCCATTTTCTCAATTTAGTTGCTTGGTTTTTTTTAATTACAGGATCTACAGAAGATATCCCCAATGTGTATGAACATTCAGTTTGATGTGAGGTGAACTTTACTCTGTCAGACAGCCTAAGAGAAGAGACCAGAAACTCAGTGAGAATGGGCTTTCTTACAAACTCTTCATGCCTCTTTTGTTGGCGTTGCAGTACTTAAAATCTTACTAAATTTTCTGTCCAGACAATTCAACCCACAAGTGGTCACCTGCCTGTCAGAACTATAAGCTGCCAATGTCACATGCATTGTTTTGGGAAGCTGCCATCTTGAAGACTTTTTCATTTGTTGCAATGGAGGATCCTTACTGTTCATATTGTTCCTTAAGGAGAGTGGAGTGAAACCATTCAAAATTTCTAGGGGGAGGGGGGGGGGAGAACCACCATAAAGTTCACTTACATTTGCTTTTTAACTGCAAAATAGAATGCAGGAACAACCCTACACTTTCACACCATTCCAAGAGCATATATGATATGCAGGTTGAAATTAGACAGAGAAATCATTCCATTTCTTTTCCTGCTAATTTTTTTTCTTCCGATGTGCCTAAGAGTCTTGGTTCAAGATGAATGTAGTTTGCAAGAGCCAAACACTCTTCCCCTCCTCAGCAAAGGGGGTATTGGAGGTCACTCTGGTTCTGTCTCATAGGAATGTTGTTACTGCTCAATTTGCCAAGAAGTCTGGAAAGTGCATATCTCCTTCTCTTCCGAATACTGTGTGCTACATCAGATAATAGCATGGGGCAGCTCCAGATCTGCTTCATGTGAATTACAGCTATTGGCTGCACTAACTGAAATGCCTGATCCTTGAGGAGCAAAAAGACCTAATAGCACTAATTGATGGTTATTTTATTTCTGACCATTTAGAAAACTGAGTTGAAACGTGGCAGAGAGAAATATTTCAGGATGCCATAAGCCCATGATGGCAAACCTATGGCCCGCATGCCTGAAGTGGCATGCAGAACCATGCTGCCTGGCATGCGTGGCCTCGCCCATTGCTCTTCCTGGCTTCTGGCGTGCATGCACACGTGACAATCAGCTGAGCTTCTTGCGCACAACAGTGTTGTTTTCTGGCCTGCGTGTGCACGTCAGCTAGCTGATCGTCACACACACATGCACACCAGAAACTAGAAGAGGAGTGGCCGATCGTGCATATATGAACTGGAAACTGAAGTTTCGGTTTCCAGCAAGCGCATATGCACTGGGCCACTCCTCTTCCGGTTCGCTTCCTGAGTGTGCGCACACTCCCTTTTCAGCACTCGGTGCCAAAAAGGTTCGCCATCCCTGTCATAAGCTAACAAAATCTGTTAACTACAGTACAAAATCCAGTTCTCTGTACATCTTTCAGCCCTAGATTGGTACTTATATGGAGGGGAGAGTGTTTTCAGAGGCTGGATTTGGACCAAGAATCTCTGTGCCTAGCTTCTTAAAATTGTCAAAAAATAAACTACCCCCCCCTCCAAAACTCCAAAAGAGATGCCCAGTATTTCTGAGCGTCTTTGCCACGATAGGGTGTCTTTGTCATTTCAGTTTTTCTGTGTAGCCCTAGTCAAAGATTTAAACCCGTTCATCCTCACATCCAGCACTCTTGCTACTTTACAACATATCCCACAATATTATTTTCTCTTCCTCCTCCTCAGTATCCAGTTGTGAATAGATAACAATTCCAATCTGAAGGCAGTCATGCTGCACTTTACATGTGGAAGACAAAGAGCTGAAGTTTGTGGAATATTTTCAGTTATCTTTTCCCCCACTTTGCTCAGAGTGAATACAGGCAAGCAGTTTAGTAATTGGTACACCTAAGACACCTCATCCTGAGGCATCATTGAATAGTAATGCTGTGATAAGTTACTTATTGGTAAATGTAACCTGTAGTCAAACATCAAGCCTTGGGATATTAATACGGTACTGTTGTGAATGTGGCAAATTAGAGATGGACATTTTTCTGATTTAAAATACTGACATTTTAGGTGCATCCAGACACTGATTTAAATCTGACTGAGAATAATCAGCTTGCTTACCAAATAAATAGTCCTGGATTCTCTGGGGAGAAACTGTATCAATTGAATTGGCATAAAGAGTGATATAAATCTTTACTTTAGATATATTCAGAATCTCACTGAATATACAAGACTATAAACTCCTGAAGCATTGCAAAGACATTCACCTATTGGGTAAGATTTTGAATGGGACATAAAATGAAAATGATTTATGATTAAAATGATTCCTTTGTAAAAAAAAAAAAACAACGCCAAAAGTTAAACAGATTACAGGCTTTTTATGAAGTGAGCAAGGAAACCAAGAGTTGTATAGTTATTACTATCACTTTCCTCATTGGCCAGAGATGTATCTTTAAAATGTTTTTAGGATTAATGGAAATGCAAAATATATACTTGGAATTTATTATTTTTATTCATTTCATATTTGCTAAAATAACGTAAGGAAAGTGTTGATCAGGCTATATGTGATATTCATGAACTGGAGGTAGAAAGAGGGAGAAGAGAGAGCATGTTTGGCATGCAAAAAGTAGCAAATTCAAATCATAGCATTTCCAGGATGAGCTGGCTAAGGTCCCTGATCTATAGTGCTTTCCAAGATTTAATTCAGAATTGCTGAGCTACCTGAGCTTGATAGTATGATAATGTGTCTGGGAATTCTGGTCATTATATTCCTACACCAGGGGTGTCAAACTCAAGGCTTAGATCTAGCTTGAGGAGCTGTCCTGGAAACAGTGGATTGACCTGCAGTGCCTTTGCCAGTGAAAATGGACCTCGGGAGGGCCACGTTAGCACTCGGGCCGCCACAAGCGCCCCTGACATGAGTGACATTGAGCTTCTCCCTCCTGCTCCCCCCCTCCCTCGAGGTCAAACACAACCCTGATGCGGCCCTCAGTGAAAATGAGTTTGATACCCCTAGGTTGAGGAACTATTATAGGTGATATTGATGAGACAGATCAGTAATTAATGCAGGTTTTTTAAAAACCTGAAAATTCATAGAAATTGCTGATGGTTGGTTTGTACATCCTTTGATGAGTAGTCATCCAAAAATTGGATGTGAACTTAGGAACGGATTCATGGATAACAAAGGTTCATGGCATGTAGGTGTTAGAAAGCTGTAAATGCAAGAAAACAACATATTTTATGCGAAGTAGGGAGTTCAGTCCTCAAATGTATTAAAAAGCACCACGGGTAAGAAAGCATTGTATCATAGGATAAAGACTTACGTTGCTTTGGAAGAGATTTATGTTCCTCTTGGGTACAGAACAGGAACAGAGTGACCAGATCTTTTCATCAAGGGGTGGCCCAAGTCACAGGTTGTGTGTTCTATGGAGCTACCACTGCCTTATTGGTAAGGTTCAGTGGGATGTTTTCCATCATATTGCACAACAGGAAGAGCACCCCACATTCACAGTGATTCTTTTTCCTCAGCCCCCCCCCCAACCCCAAATCCAAGAAAATTACACACAAAAAAACCCCATTATCTCATTCTCACTGACTTTAAGACATGGACCCAACCCCTCTCTCACACTTCAAAGTTACATATTTGGGGGAAAGTACTAGTCTTTTCAGGTCAATACACAATTTCTTGTATGCTGGGAGTACCTCAAATGGAGCAATTTAGTGGCAACTATAAGAGAGACTAGAAAAACTGGAAATTAACCTTGCTGTATTTTTAGACTTAAGCACTGGAAAATGTTTCAGGAGCAAAAATAGCGCTCGTTTAGATGTTCCGAAACCTGTCAGAAAACATCTGAGGACTAGGCACCAGTTTGGCTGTAGTTCTGTTTCAGTTGGAGTCAAAGCACAAGCCATAGAAAGGATGAAAAAACTTACTCCACAGGGAAACAGTGAGTCAGTGAGAACACGTTGAGTCGTTCTTTTCCTTTCAGCACCTTCTCCTTCAAATTTCTTCAGCTGCAGTTGTTCTGCTCCTTCCTCCTGGCAACCTCAGACCCTTTGAAATGTGAATAAGGAATTTATTTTTATACTTTGTAATTAATTTTTTGAATCTACTTTTCAGGCACTTGGGTACTTTTATAAACCAAAAGGGAAAAATTATGTTTATGTACATACATATGCAAAACCAAATATTTATGTCTAAGAGAGAGAGAGAGAGAGATTGTTTGAATATGGGGACATGCTCAAATCTATTTATTTTGCTAATATATTTATCCACGTGTAAAGCTGTTCATGTGGCTGTTATTTTTTTTTTCTGTATAAAATCATGGGTGCCTATGTTCAAGAGATGCCTCTTCCTGTTTATTTGTCAGAAATAAATTTTTTTAAAATATCTATATGTGAAACTTGTAATGTACATGAGAAATAACACTGGAAGGAAATTTAAGTATGGTTTGGATGGGTGTCCTTTAGTACAGTGTTTTTCAACCTTTTTTGTGCAAAGGCACACTTTTTTCATGAAAAAAATCACAAGGCACACCACCATTAGAAAATGTTAAAAAAAATTAACTCTGTGCCTATATTGACTATATATAAAGTGTTTTTCCCACGGCACACCTTACACCATGTCACGGCACACTAGTGTGCCG